AAATTCAGCAACCGCCTGGCCACATGCTGTTTCTTTTCTGTGACGATGAATCAGAGGCTTGTTTCTTACATCCCCCCCACTCCCCCACTGGCCCTCAGAGAAGCCCATCAGGCAAGGAGCTGTGCCCGCAGACCGAGCTCCTCAACGTAGAATGCGCCTGGCAGCTCCCCTCGGGGTTGTCAAACCAGGGCCAGTGAGCTAAGACTAGTGTTTACATGTTCACAGACTTGCTGAGAAAGGAAAGGGGGGTGGGGTGGGGAAGAGGCAGGAAGGAGGAAGCGGAGAAACCCTTTACCAAAAGTTTGCCAAGCCCGGTATCTAAATTACCAATATTCACCCAACGATGCCCGGATGGCAGCAGAAAACAATGAATCGGGGAACAGGTGAGAGATGTCAACATAATGACTGCACCCAGTGGGACTCCTTTCAGGTCACAAGAATGGAAAGGGAGGCAGGCTTCAGGTTAGGAGACATGCTTAGGAGGCTGACTTGAGAAATGGGTCGTTTATCACCAACCCGGGAGTATACGTAAGCACCTCAAAGGGTGTGAGGATCGCCGCCTTCGGAACCCATCGTTCTATTCATGTGAAAAAGCAAACAGTCTGCCGGGGGCTCAGCCCTCACTGGGCCCCAACTTGGACTCTCCTTACTCAGTCCCACCGGTGGGAGCCCATGGGGGTGAGGGGCTCTCGCTGTCTCTCAACCTGCCTGTCCTCCTCACTAGGCAGGGTCCTCCGGCAAAGGCACCGCCCTCAGGACCGGCTCTGACGCCGACCTCGTCGTGTTCGTCGACTCGCTGACGAGCTTCCCCTCCCAGAAAGCCGAGCGCTACAACGTCATCAAGGAAATCAAACACCAGCTAGAAGCCTACCAGCGGCAAGTGACCGATCAGGAGGTGGAAGTGACGTTTGAGATTTCAAAATGGGAGGCTCCCAGGGTGCTGAGCTTCTCTCTGAAATCCAGAAATCTCAACGGGAGTGTTGACTTCGATGTGCTGCCGGCATTTAATGCGCTGGGTGAGACCCCCCACACCTTCGCTCCTGGAGGAGGAAGGGTCTGGAATGATGGTGGGAGGGGGGTGGAGAGAAAGCCACGAGGCTCAGTAATGGGTCATGGGGCCAGGGCCCCCACAGGTGGCATTAGTAATGGCAGCCACACCCTGGATAAGTAGCCTCCCCGCCCCCCGACCCCCAATCCATGGTTTTCCTTTTCCTGGTTTCAGTTCCCCGTGATCAACCATGGTTGGAAAATATTAAGTGGAAAATTCCAGAAGTAAGCAACTCATCAGTTTTAAATCACATGCCATTCTGAGTAGCGTGATGAAATGGCGCTCCCTTCGGCCTAGGATGTGACTCCTCCCTTTGTCCCGCGTGTCTCGCTGTGAATGCTCCCCGCCCGGTAGGCCCTTAGTGGCCATAGATGATCAGACCACCTGCCGTATCACAGGGCTGTGTCCCAGTCACCCTTATTCACCGCACAATGTCCCCAGAGCCCCAGTAGTGTTGCTGGTAATTCAGACATGCCAGAGAGAAGCATGAACTGCTTCCTTCACATGAAGAGTTCTGTATGTACAGGGCCTCTCAGAGCATGTCCCCTGGAGATAAGGGAGAACTCAGTGCACCCTACACCTATACATTCTCTTATTTTTCTTTGTTTTATGTGTGTGTGTGTGTGTGTGTGTGTGAGTGTGTGTGTGTGTAATTTGATTTCAGAGAGGAAGGGAGAGGGAGAGAGAGATTGAAACATCAATGGAAAAATATCCTAGGGTGAGAATTAACAACAACAACAACAAAAGTCCCTTACAAATTCAATTCATGGGTGACAGAAACATAGCAGGGTATTAAAAGAAACCAAGGAGCCCTGGCCGGCATGGCTCAGTGGTTAGAGCGTTGATCTGAGTACCAAAGAGTCATAGGTTCGATTCCCAGTCAAGGGCACATATCTGGGTTGTGGGTTCGCTCCTTGCCCCCCACTGGGGCACATGCGGAAGGCAACCAGTTGATGTGGCTCTTTCACATCAATGATATTCTCTCTCTGCCTCTCCCCTTCCCTCCCACTCCTCTAAAAATCAACGGAAAAGTATCCTGGGGAGAGGATTAACCAAAATAATAATATATACTAATAATAGAGGAATATGCAAATTGTCTGGGACTCCATCACAATAAAGACCAAACAGCAGGCTGTGTGGGGCGACCAGGCTGGCAGGGGGGCAGTTGGGGATGACCTGGCCAGCAGGGGGGCAGTTGGGGACCACCAGGCCAGCGGGGGGGAGGGGCAGTTGGGGATGACCAGGCCATCAGGGGGGCAGTTAGGGGCGATCAGGCAGACAGGCAGATGAGCAGTTAGGAGCCAGCAGTCCCGGATCGGGAATCAGGCCTAAACTGGCAGTCAGACATCCCCTGAGGGGTCCCAGATTGGAGAGGGTGCAGGCTGGGCTGAGGGGAACCGCCCCCCCCCCCGCATGAATTTTGTGCACCGGGCCTCTAGTAATAATAATAATAATACCACTAATAAAGATACAGACCATATTATTTGTAATATCATTACTCTAGAGATGATCCCAATATCTTGCACGTACACTAATAGAATTCAAACTGGTTTCCCAGAACTGAATTATAGTTGTCAGACATGTTTTGAAACTGTTGCTTCCTGTGTCTATAGATTGAGGCATCCTGTCATTCTCTCTCCTCCACGTAGAGAAGCTGGGACCTCTCTGCAGAGTCTACACCAAGCTCATCGCTCAGTACGAGCAGCACGCAGACACCCCGGGGGGCGAGTTTTCTGCCTGCTTCACAGAGCTGCAGCGAGACTTCGTCAGCTCCCGGCCCACCAAGCTGAAGGACTTACTTCGCCTGGTGAAGCACTGGTACAAGCAGGTCTGCATGGGACGGTGACGCCGGCACGTACCGAGTCTCCGCGCGCCCACACTCTCCAGGCTGGGGCCCAGCCACCTTCACGCTGGGACCTCTGTGGGGGACCCCCCTCACTAGCCCCATGGAGGGGGGTTGGGTGTAGAGCACCTCCTGCCATCAAAGCTGCTACCTGAGGTTCCCTTGGCCCTTGCGCTGCCCCCCAGAGCATTCTGCAGGAATGCCAGTGAGCCTGCCCGCCCGGCAGATGCCTCCGAGGTGCCGGCCCAGCTTTCCTGCTGCTCCAGCCCCTACCTAACGGACACGGACGCCATCTCCTGGAGGCAGGTGGGAGCTACAGGTGGTCCCAGGGGCTGCGTTTTCTATAGTATTGATTAGCCCGCCTTCACTTTTTTTTTAAATATATTTTTTATTGGTTTTAGAGAGGAAGGGAGAGGGAGAGAGAGATAGAAACATCAATGATGAGAGAGAATCATTGATCAGCTGCCTCCTGCACGCTCCTTACTGGAAATGGAGCCCACAACCCAGGCATGTGCCCTTGACTGGAATGGAACCTGGGACCCTTCAGTCCACAGGCCGGCGCTCTATCCACTGAGCCACACCGGCCAGGGCCCGCCTTCACTTTTATCATGTCTTGCAGACAGGGTCGTTTCTTAGTATTTTCTCAACAGCAGGCGCCCAGCACCATATCCGTTCTTGCTAAACTGTCTCCTTCCCATGTCCGGCTCCCTGAACCCTAAGCTGAAGCCTGAGCTCTGTGGCTCCCAGCCCAGAACATTAGAGAGATCGCTCCACACCCCCCAGCCGCAGGGCGCTCCGAGGGCTGAGGCTACAGGCTGACCTGGAGCAGGTCACTCCACTTCCAGAAGCCTCGTGGCTTCATCTATACCAGCAATCACCACGCCTGCTTTTGGGGTGGCGGGGAAGGTTAGGGATGGCGTCAGCAAAATACCCAGCCCCATCATTAGCACGCGGTGGGGTTTTAGCACACGGTGGCCACAATATAACTCTAGGAAGTCATGATGGTCAAATCACAACAGAGCAGCCTCCGCGTGCTGCCAAGGAGAGGCTAAGTGAATGCCTGCAGACCTGCCCTGCTCACACGTCCGGATGGTCAAATCACAACAGAGCAGCCTCCGCGTGCTGCGAAGGAGAGGCTAAGTGAACGCCTGCAGACCTGCCCTGGTCACACGTCTGCAGGCCACTCCCACCACACAGCCTGCTCACACTTCCCAGGCCACTCCCACTCACACAGCCTGCTCACACCTCCCAGGCCACTCCCACCACACAGCCTGCTCACACCTCCCAGGCCACTCCCACTCACACAGCCTGCTCACACCTCCCCAGGCCACTCCCACCCACATAGCCTCCCAGGACTCCGCTGCCCCCGGAGGCTCCTTAATGTACAGTGCGCCTCCCTGCCTCGGCCAGTATCATCTGACGATCTCCCTCTTCCCTCAGTGTGAAAGGAGACTGAAGAAAAAGGGGTCGCTGCCCCCCAAGTACGCCTTGGAGCTGCTCACCATCTACGCCTGGGAGCAGGGCAGCGGGGCCACAAGTTTTGACACCGCCCAAGGTTTCCGCACGGTCCTGGAGCTGGTCACCCGCTATCAGCAGCTCTGTGTCTTCTGGACGGTCAACTACAACTTCGAGAATGAGACTGTGAGGAACTTCCTGCTGAAGCAGCTCCAGAGACCCAGGTGCCCCGAACCCTCCCCTCCCCTCCCCTTTCCTTACCCTGATTCCCTCCACCCCTCCCTCCGCGAACTGGCTTCTCCTCCTGTGGGGGCCTGATTCATCCTCCTCCAGAGAAACTGCGGGAGGGGGTGCCAACCAACAGAGCCTCCTGCAGAGCCCCAGGGAGGCGGGAGGAAATGTCACCCAGAAGGAACAGGCGGAGGCCCCAGGCCCCGGCCCCTGCATGGCATCCATCTTTCTCGGTCACAAGGAGAAGTGGGATTCGTTACCGCCTACGAGGCGGGGCAAGTGTGAGCCTGAGAACTAAGTGTCATTCATAGGCTGATGGATCCTACAGGCTTGTTACTGTCAGGTTTCACCTCCCCTTCCAGCACCGCATCCCCCAAAACCTTCATCCTTCAAGGATGAGAAGGCATCTCCGTTCAGCTGCTCGGAGTCACCAGCCAGGGACAAAAGCAGCGGAAGCAAAAGGAAAGGAAATGGGAGCAAAGGAAGGAGCAGGGAGAGTCTAGGGAAGAAGAAAGAGAGAACAAGACACCCTGGGTTGCCTACCATGGGAGTGGCCGACTCAGTAACATTCCATTGGGTTATGATTATGCGTCATCGGTCAGTTGGCCTGGCTTGGAGAAGATGTTTGTATGACGCCCTCACGTCTATAATATTTAGTAGCTTTCAAAACATTTTTTAAATATATTTTATTGATTTTTGACAGAGAGGAAGGGAGAGGGATAGAGAGTTAGAAACATCGATGAGAGAGAAACATCAATCAGCTGCCTCCTGCACACCTCCTACTGGGGATGTGCCCGCAACCAAGGTACGTGCCCTTGACCAGAATCGAACCTGGGACCTTTCAGTCCACAGGCTGACGCTCTATCCACTGAACCAAACCGGCCAGGGCTCAAAACATTTTTTTACAATTATTATTTAATTCCAGAAGATTACTTTGCACAGTATTAGTACACTGAATTCTTGACGTCCAAGTAGTAAGGACACATTGCTTTATTGCTGAGAGGAGGATGGGCCCCCAACCCTGAGACCACTGACTCTGAGAAGCAGGCCCCTAACGCCTCCAACCCCTCGTCCAGGCCGGTCATCCTGGACCCGGCCGATCCCACCGGCGACGTGGGCGGAGGGAACCGCTGGTGCTGGCATCGTCTGGCGAACGAAGCTGCCGAATGGCTGTCCTCCTCCCTCTGCTTCAAGGATGGAACTGGAGGTCCCGTCCCGTCGTGGAAAGTGCCGGTAAGAATAACCTCCAGGCAGCGTGGTCTGGGGATGGCTCCGTGACAGGCTTCGATCACAGAGCTTCTCCTGCTGTCGCCACTTGGAATTTATTCAACCACAAATGACAGCTCACCCACGTCAGGGGCTTGGGCGTTGTTTATTCGTTTGTTTGTTTGTGTTTCTTCCCGTTAAGAAATCCCAAGGCAGGCACCCCAGGACTCCCCTAACAGCTCCACGGTGCTTCCCCGTGAGCAGTTTCCCCGCTGTGGCACCATTTGCATTTCGTCTGGATCGTTCTTTGTGGTGGGGGCTGTCCTGGGCCGTGTCGGATGCTGAGCGGCATCCCTGGTCCCTACCCGCTCGATGTGACGATGTCTCCGGAAAGGGCCTCCGGACCTCCAGGTGGCAGGTTCATGGTCCAGGCAGGAAGGACAGGAGGGGAAAGGTACCTGCTCAAGGGCATCTTCTCAGAAGCCTCATCCAGCAAGTTATCTTCATGTCAGTGCCCAGAACTGTCCTGTGGCATCTGCTACTTAAAAGTGACTCCAAAGCGGGGGGAGGGGGGCCACGGATGGGATTGGGTCAGCAACCAAGCGTCTGCCACACCTGCTCCTAGTGCCCCTCTCACCAGGACACTGCCACCTGTACACTTGGTTCTCCCACCAGGACCATTCTCAAGGTCCCGTCAAAGCAGGGTTTCTCAACCTCAGCACTAGTGACATCTTGGGCCAGATAGCCAGGTAATTCTTCATCGCAGGGGCTGTCGTGTGCATTATGGGATGATGAGCAGCATCCCATCTCCACCCACTTGATGCCACCCAGTTGTGACCATTAAAAATATCTCAAGACATTGCCTCATGCCCTGTGGGGGCCAAATCGCCTGAAAGAACAGCCCTCCCCACTCCACTCCAGGGTCAGCTGTAGTTATCAAAATCTGTGCTATCAACAAGCACCCCAAAATTATCCCTGGTAATATTTTACCCTCTCAGATACACTGCCTTCTTCTTTTTTTCCTGACCCTTTTAACCAAAGGGTTTGAATGCTTAGAACCCGTATTATTCTCACATGTCACTTCTTTCTTTCTAGACGGTGCAGACACCGGGAAGCTGTGGGGCTGGTGTCGGTCCTGTCATCAACGAGATGTTCTCGTACAGAAGTCGTGGAATCCTAGACTGAAAATGCTCAGAGAAACTTCTCGAGGTCACCTGACAAGTGCTTTTGAAGAATCAGTTTACTGTGTAAATGCGTATCCCAGATCCCTTCTCCCCACCCCCCACCCCCAAACTCCTTCCCTGGTTTCCTGGACGCCTCTTCAAATCAAGACTGCCATGTCCTTCCCAGAAAGTCTCGTACATTCTCGCCTTGCTGGGCTCTCACTCCGTGAGTGGCCTGCTTTATTAAAAATGTTTGCTCTCATCCGTATTTTTCCCATCCGCTCCTCCCTTTTCCTTCAAGTTTTAGAAGAGGATTCTCTCCATCTTCTGAGCGTGAAGCCCTTGACCTGCCCCTTGGTTCCCATAAGTCAGTGATCTTGCTTTCATAATCTCCCACCTCACCCGCCTCCCTCTGGGCTCAAACCCTACCTGTGCCTGCTGATCGAAGGCCTCCTAAGCCAGTAGTAAATCAGCCTCTTTAAGACCTTCAAACTCTCCTAAGCCTTGGATTACAAATGTTGAAATATATTTATCTCCTGTTCCCTCCTTCTGAGCCTACCTTTAGTCCCCCACCCATGAGTATCTTCTTGCCAAATCTAAAGGCTTTATCCTCTGGCTTTTCCTTCAAAGGTACTTGAAGATCTAAGTGTTTTAACCTCATATGTATCCTCTGAAAGTCTTATTACTGTCATGTATGCCAACTGCCATGTAATAAACAAAAATGTCTGGCCCTGGCCGGTTGCTCAGTGGTTAGAGCGTAGGCCCTCAGACCAAAGGGTCGTGGGTTCGGTTCCCAGTCAAGGACATGTATCTCCGTTGAAGGTTCCTCACCCCTGGGGCACGTGTGGGAGGCAACCAATCGACGTGTCTCCCTCACTTCAATGTTTCTCTCTCTCCCCCTCCTCCCTCCCTTCCACTCTTTCTAGAAATCAGTGGGAAGAAGATCCTTGGGTGAGGATTAAAAACAAACAAAAAAGAATATGTCTGGTCTTTACCCCCAGTTCCTAGCACAGAGTTTCAAAAACCCTTGCAGTTTCCTATAGGAGCGTCTTGTATTCATAATGAGCCCCTGCCAGCCAGCCATGAGTTTATGCTAATGAGGCCTGGACTCTTAGATTTCAAGGGAGGGGTTGGCCATGCCAGAAATGCCAAGCTTGTGATTAGAGAATTGAACTCCCAAGAGGAGAGAGAGTTGGAAACTGAGCTCAAGCATGTGGCCAAGGATTGAATCACTCCTGCCTCTCTAATGAAACCCAATAAAAACTCTGGACGGCCAGGCTTGAGCAGCTTCCTGGTCGGTAAATGCACTGATGTCTTGAGAAGGTGGCACATCCTGACTCCACGGGGCAGAAGCTCCTTTGCCCAAGACCCTTCCAGACCTCACCCCCGATGTTCCTCTTCACCTGGCTATTCCTCTGTGCCCTTGACAGTAAAATGGTGACTGCAGGTAGAATGCTTTCCTGAGTTCTACGAGTCACTCTGGTGAATTACTGAACATGAATTTGGAGTCAAGTTAGACAGAAGTACAAGTGGATTGGGGACCCCACTTGTGACTGGCATCTGAAGTGAAGAGGGGGCAGTCTTGTTGGGACCTTGCCCTTGAACTGTGGGGTCTGCACTAACTCCGGGGAGGGTCAGGATTGAATTGAGTTGAATTGTAGGGCACCCAATTGGTGTCCGAAGGTTGGTTTTAGAACACACCACTGCTCCCGTCTAGAAGAAAGCAGCTATGACTTGAGGTTAAAGAATGAAAGAATGACCACCCTAAGTTGACATCTACTCAGTCTACAACTAGGTACCATTCCCTTCAAGATGCACAACTTGCCCTAGAAACATAGAGAGGGAACTATCAGACACCGCCCCCTCCTCCCAGGGGAAATGCACCCAGAGGGACTGTGACACCTACTTAACCTTAAACAAACATGAAGGGCCATTTACAACCGCGCGCTAAGTGACTTCCCCAGGCACCTCACCGGCAGGTAGGGACCATTCGTCTTTCCTGCAATGTCTTCTCAGCATTCGGTAGACACTGAAGTTCCTCAAGAGCAAAGACAAGGAAGACCCCACAGTGATCAAGAAACGTGTGGTAGAAAAACAAAAGAAAGAAAGAAACGAGTGGTCATTGGTCAGTGATGGCGAACCTATGACACGCGTACGCGTGTCAGAGGTGACACGCGAACTCATTTTTTTGGTTGATTTTTCTTTGTTAAATGGCATTTAAATATATAAAATAAACATCAAAAATATAAGTCTTTGTTTTACTATGGTTGCAAATATCAAAAAATTTCTATATGTGACACGGCACCAGAGTTAAGTTAGGGTTTTTCAAAATGCTGACACGCTGAGCTCAAAAGGTTCACCATCACTGTCATTGGTCATCATGAGAAGTAACAAGGGCACCAACCCTTTTTTCAGAAAAAAAATTGGCAACTAACAGCAATGAAGAGGAAATCTTTAAACTCAGCCTTTCTTGCACAAATTGTATTTCAGGGGCGGTGGGGGGAAACCCAGCCATGACTGTTAAGGAAAACAGTTTTGAACAGGAGACTTAGATTTACTATATGTGGAAGTGATGACACATTAGAAGCCACTATTTTGCAACTTCCGATGAAACAAATGATTTGGGCAGAGATTACCAATGGATGAAACCATTTGATGACATGCAGGTGGGGGCAGACTGTCACCTCCCAGGTCCACGGTTTCATCACAGCATCCAGAGAAGGACAGCCAGACACGGTGGTCCTGCTGGTGCGAGGCACACAGCACCATTCATTAACTGTTTTTGCCAAACAACAACCAAAAAAGGCTAGTAATAAACAAAAGGAGCCCTAACCGGTTTGGCTCGGTGGATAGAGTGTCGGCCTTCGGACTGAAGGGTCCCAGGTTCGATTCCGGTCAAGGGCATATACTTGGTTGCAGGCACATCCTGTTTCTCGCTCATCTGTGTTTCTAACTCTCTATCCCTCTCCCTTCTGCTCAGTAAAAAATCAATAAACTATATTAAAAAAATAAAAATAAACAAAAGGAATTGAGTTAGAAAGTTGAAAGTTCCAGAGAAAATGTGTAGCCCAGACAGACTTCAGAAGAGAACAGCAAAGGAAGGAGAACCGAGGACAGAGGTGGAAGGGCGTGCCCTCTCACAGCCTCGGAGGGAGACGAACCTGGAACAGAGCAAGAATCCAACTGAGTGGGTTCAAGGTCAAGATTCCGGCCCATAGTCCACTCCCGGTTACCCTGGCAATGAGGGCCCCACTGACATCAGAGAAAGTCAGGGATGATTAGAAAATGCCACGAAGCCCACAGGAGGCCTGGGAGGCAGGTAGGGGTGTGTCAGGCACCATGACAGCCCCCCACCCCCCAAGGATGTCCACGTCCTAACCCCGAACCGGGATGATTAGAAAATGCCACGAAGCCCACAGGAGGCCCGGGAAGCAGGTAGGGGTGTGTCAGGCACCATGACACCCTCCAAGGATGTCCACGTCCTAACCCCGAACTTGCGACTATGTTACCTGACGTGGCAGAGTGAAGGATCTTGGGATGGGGTGTTCTGGGTTACTCAGGTGAGCTCAATCGCTCTCCCAGCCCTAAAGCAGAGAGCCTGCCCCACCTCACGTGAGAGTTCCAGCGGAAGAAGAGGCAGAGCCATGAGCCAGGGCCTGTGGGCAGAGAATGACCCCCAGCTGGCAGCAGCCATGACACAGGGACCTCAGGCCCGCAGTCACGTGGAAACGGACTCCCCGGGCGAGCCTGGAACCCGGGCGTCCCCGGAGCTCCCAGTCTGGAACGCAGCCCGGCCAACCCCTTGATCCGGACTTGGGGGACCCAGAGCAGAGAAACCGGACAGGCATGGTGGGCTTCCACCTACGGACTGGGAGGTAATGAACTCGCCTTGTTGTGAGCCCCTGGATGTGTGGCCATGTGTTTGGGCAGTTACCAGCCTCCCAGGGGGCAGCAGTGAGCGCTGCGGGGCTGGGCCCAGTGGGGACTCCAGCCTGTGTCCAGGGAAGGCCAGTCACCTGTGAGAGGGAGGAGTCTGCCCTCCATTCTTCTGACACCAGACTGGGGAGAGGGGTCCCCACGCTGGCCAATCCCCCAACACTGGTCAGGTGACCTACAATTCAATTAACCTCCGACACAGTCCACCTGGGCCTCATGTCAGAGGCCGCAGGGTAAGGACTCAGTCCCACAGGACGCCCTCCCCTCGCCCCCCTGCCGACCAGTCACGAGTCCGGGCCTCCAGGGTTCCTGGCCTCCTCAGGTTCAATCATTTGTTAGAGTGGCTCACAGGCCTCCGAGAAGCAGCTTGCTTGTTCTATCTTCCCTGCTCACACCCTCTACCCTCCTTCGTTCTCAGTCCTCCTGCATCTCCCTCCTCCTTTCTCCTGCGGGACCTCTGGGCTACTCCTGCAGCTGCCCGTAGCAGCCCAGCTTTGACTGCCATCGTGTGGCAGCAGGATGAAATTCCTGAGCAGGAAGCAGGCCAGTCCTGGGACACGGGGAGGCGTGCCCGAAGCCCCGGTAACGTGGTCCAGGGAGGGGTTCATTCTGAATCATGATCCCTGCAGTGAGGCATCGTTAAACAAGCTGTTAGTTCCACACAGAGCCCACGTGCTCACCAGGAGCAGAGGAGGAAAAGCCAGCCAGTGGCCCTTAAACAACTTTGTTTTCTTTTTATAAAGATTTTTATTGATTTTTCAGAGAAAGAGGGGGTGGGGGAGAGAGAAAGGTCTACTTATTGATGTGCTCATTGGTGGATTCTTGTATGTGCCCTGACCGGGGATCAACCCACAACCTGGGCATATTAGATGATGCTCTAAGCAACTGGGCTCCATGCTGGCCACTGGGACTGGGGGACATGAGGGACAGGCTGCTGGGGTCTCCAGAAATCTCGTGTGGCCACTGCCACACGTCTCCCTAACTTTGCCTCGAACACGCTATCAAGTCTGTAGGTGCGATCGTCACTTAGCAAGGATAAGGGACAAGCTTGAGCCCCAAAAGCCACCACCCTCAGTACGGCCATTCACAAGTACAAGCATGGGTCCTCCGTGACATGCTTGAGCAGCTGCTAGACACAGCACCCACCTACATGCCCACATCTGGTCCCTGGAGACAGTATCCCCCAGCTGAGCCGGGTCCCCATCATCCTTCCCCACCCTCACAAACCACGGAAATCAAGGCCTGTCACTCACCTGTTCATGGAAGCCCGTGTTCATCTCAGCACTTTTCATAGCCAAGAGGTGGAAGCAAGCCAGGTGCTCGTGGCCAGGTGAATGGCTGGACAGAATGTGGTGTTTACATGCAATGGAATGTTGCTCAGCTTTAAAAAGGAAGGAAATTTTGACACATGCTACCACGTGGATGAACCTTGAAGACATTATGCAAAGTGAAAAAGGCCAGTCACAAAAGGACAGACGCTGTTTAATTCCATTCACAGGAAGTATCTAGAGTAGTCACAATCAGAGAGACCAAAGGTGGAAATGGTGGTTGCCAGGGGAAGGGAGGAATGGGGAGTTAGGGTTTAATGGGTACAGAGTTTCAGTTTTGCAAGATGAGTAAGTTCTGAAAATTGGTTGCACAACAATGTGAATGTATTTAACACGACTTAATGCACACTTAGAAATAGTAACGCTCGGCTGGCATGGCTCAGTGGTTGAGCGTCGACCTATGAGCCAGGAGGTCACAGTTCAATTCCCAGTCAGGGCACATGCCCAGGTTGCGGGCTTGATCCCGTGTGGGACGTGCAGGAGGCAGCGGATCTATTATTCTCTCCCATCATTGATGTTTCTGTCTCTCACTCTCCCTTCCTCTCTGAAATCAATAGAAATATATTTTTAAGAAGGAAAAAATACTTACAATGGTAAATTTTATGTTACTTGTTTTTACCACAATAAAAAGTAAATAAAGATGAATTACCTGGAAATCCTCCCAGCATTAGAGCAAAATGGCCCCAAAATGACCACCAGGGGGCGCTGTACAGCCATTCCTATGTCATTTCAATGGCAGTTTCTAGAGGGGAGGAAACACTAGGGTCCCTGAGAAAGTTAGATCTCTCTCCTCTTTCCTCTCTCCTCCTTTCCCCTCTCTCCTCCCCTCCACCCTCTCTCCAAGTTGGACCAGATCTGCTCAGCACTCCAGGGACATCCCTGTCCCACCCCCCTCCGAGCCCCGTTTTTCCTCTGGGTCCCTTCCCTCTGTGTTGGAGACACAGCGGTCCTGGATGTTGTGTGCCCACCCGCCCAGCTGCACTCAGGCCTCCAGATTGCCCGGCACTGGAGAAGAGGGAGCGGCGACAAGGACTCACCTGCCCCAGGTTACCCAGAGACGAGGGTAGGTCGCCCTGGAAATGGGCCACACACCTCCTATCCCAGGGCCAAGAGCGTCAAAGGATTTTCTGGTTCGGCTGCTCACTGTGCGTGTCATAACCTCGCTGGGCGTCAGTTTCCTCATCTGTGAAATCTGTAATAATACCTGGGAGGATTGAAATTGCTCAATAAAGTCCCCAAGCCCAGCCGGAGTGGCTTAGTAGTTGACCTATGAACCAGGAGGTCATGATTCAATTCCCAGTCAGGGCACATGCCTGGGTTGCGGGCTTGATCCCCAGTAGGGGGCATGCAGGAGGCAGCCGATCAACCATTCGCTCTCATCGTTGATGTTTCTCTCTCTCCCTCTCCCTTCCTCTCTGAAATCAATAAAAATATATTTTAAAAATAAATAATAAATATGATGCCTAGAAAGCACTGGATGAATGGGCTAGTTCCCATTCCACAGCCACATCAGGCTGGCCTGGGTCTCCGCCCACCTCCCAGTGGCGTCCCCAGCACAGCCTGCTCTCCACTTTGCATTTACTCCTAAGAAACCCGCACCAGGATCTTCCGGCCACACGGTCGGCCATTTAACCAGGTTGGACTCAACTAACTTGCAACGCAGTTAAGCCATCTCAAGGCAACTGAACTGCCTCCTGGAACCCGAGGAAAAAACTGAACAGCAAATCGCTGGGAAGAGCAGACTCGGATATGGGCTCTTCGGGGAACCCTGAACAGCCTCTCTCTCCTCCCCTCTCCCTCCCTCCCTAAGCCTGCTTGGTTCAGGACACCCCCAAGCTCCCTCCCTCCAGCCCACAGACCTCACTGCCATTCCTAGAGCACGCCACCTCGGGGCCTTTGCACTTGCTGTGCCCTTGGCTTTCGGTTCACTGACTCCCTCCTTCAAGTCTCTCTGCTCAGCTGTCACTCAGTGAGTGGCACCTCCCTTGACCGGCTGATTGAATATTGCAACCCCCCATCCCACAGGCTCTAGCCCCCTTGCTTGATCTTTTCCTTTTTATCTTAGTTCAGAACAAAAAAGGATGAAACATAGTCCTTGGTTCATAACCCACTCTCTTCAGCTTTTAATGATTAATTTTAATAATAAACCCCGTGAAACCAACCCCTCCAAACGGAAACCAGAATCTTGGTGATAACCTACATCTAACCATGTGGTTCCCCCGCCCCAGCACCACGTCACCCCGACACCGTCATCCTCATCTTGGATCCCGTGTTTATTCCTTTTAAAGTTTATCATTACATATGTGTGTGTATAATTAGTTGCCTTTAGCTTTATAGAAAGGGTGTCATGTTTATGTAAGAGGCCGTTTTCACCGGCTGTCCTGAGTTCCATCCAAATCGTGATGTGTGGCGCTCGCTCCTTCATTTTGACGGCCGTGTAGCGTTTCATCGTGGGAATTCATTCGTCTCTTCTCCCACAGCTGGGCATTGGGTTTCCTTCGCGATTTGGGGCACCGTGAATAGAGCCCCTATAAATATTCTCCCACGTGGCTCTTGCTGGAGATGGGCAGGCATTTCTCCAGGGTCCATACTTTAAGTAGAAGCGCTGGGTCAGGGGCCTGCACACGCTCGGCTTTAGGAGATAAAGCCAGACTATATTCCCACCGGGAGGTGCCAATTTACGTCCAGCAATGTGTAAGATGTCCATTTCCCCCAGGGCACTCACACTTTATGATATATTATGTATTTTACTTAGGAACTTGTTTGTTTATTCTCTATCCCTCCCTCCCACCC